TATGGTTGTCGTGGGGGTTGCCGTCCGACAGTCTATTTTCTTAACCTAGAAGCCTCCATTATTCGATCCAGTAGCCCCTTATTCGAACCAGAAATCCTACTGTTGACTTTTGATTCGAACCAGAAAAATTTACTAAATTTATTAGTGCTGTTAGATTGTTCGAGTAATATGAAAATTTAGTGCTGGAATCTAAAATCGAGCATTGTGATTTTTGCAGGAAGCACTGAACTGGAATTGAGTTGCCGCCCCTCCGTCGTTACGGACTCACTTTAAACCAATTCAAGTTACGTGAACTGATAGCGAGTGCTAGTGAAAATTAGTAGTTCGATTTGATTTCGTTTCTTTCAATAGTATAATAAGTTATTATTAATTTTTGGTAGAAACAGATTCCGATCGAACCACTATTCGAGTTGACCGTAGAAAACGTCATTATTGTCATTAGCTATTTGTTGATGTGTGTCTCTATTAAGTGCTACATTTATATTGATTGTTGCTTGCTTGCTTGATTAATTGGAAAATTATTTGAAAGCATGTTTGATTGTGAAAATTGATTTTGTTAAATGTAATTTAAAAAAACGCCATGTGATGCACTTTGACCTTTCAGAACCGGAACATATGTTATGCTTACAGCATATGTGATTGTGTTGAATTATTGGAATCGGAATATATACTTCAGAATATTTGGTTATATAATATTTTCTATTCCGATCGAAAATTGGATATGTATGTCATTTTACATGTCATATTGGGTTAGATTTTGATAGGAAAAGTTCAATGCATTCACTCGACGGGGTACATGTCACTTTTAGATTTTGTGATCTATACCTTTGTGGTGGATCCCACTTCGGATGATTATTATTGTTTGATTCAATTAATGGTTATCACTGTTTGATTCGGACTATGATTAATACTGATTAATTCGAACTATAATTAATACTAATTGATTTGAACTATAATTAATACTAATTGATTTGAACTATATTATGAATTGTGACTATTTACACTTTAGAGACACACTAAGCTTAATAGCTTAAACCCCCATAATTTCTCTTTTAGATACTCGGACTTAGGAGATTCAATACCTGGAGAATCACATTCTTTATTTAGACTAAATTATTATTTCTTATATGATTTTTATTCGATTTTCCTTCGATTTTCCTTCCATCGGACTTTTGTTTATATTTTGGTATTGATATATTTGTAAATGAGACTTTGGACATTACTGTTATTATTGAAACTGTTTATGCATGCATTTCTAGATATTTATTATTATTTATATTGATTTTTTCTCGGACATTTGTTTTTTTAATAAAATTATGAAGATTGAATTTGAGAACTATTTCTTTAATTATAATGTAAATTTTTAAGTTTTGAATTGATCATTGTTACTCGAGGGAAAATGATTTAAATCGAGCTCTCTAAATTCGACCTAATTTCTTCTAGGTCAGATTTAGGGGGTTACATTTAATAGTATCAAAGCTAGGTTCAATCCTTGGACTGTAGATCTCGGCCAGAAAATTTAACCAAATTGATTTTTGTATGCATATATATATTTTCGGGTAAAAATGATAAATTTTAGAATAAAAAATATTTTTCTTCTTTTTCCATATTTTAATAAGGGTAATAAATATTTTTAAACGGACTTCCAAGTACCAACTCTTACCTTAAGATTTTTCTTCTCTATATAGTCCATTATGCCACCTCGTATGATTTATCATTTAGTAACCAGCCAAGGTCTGGTGTACCACTCCGAATGAGATTGACCCTTCAACTCCAACAAGTAGGTTGAGGGTTGTTGTATCATTGTTAGGTAGTGAAGCTTAGGTTTGGTGGGAGGCGAAGGAGGATAACATTTTGGCTGGGCAGGCCACATGAAAGTACTTCTAACGAGCATTTCGAGATCGTTATGTAGGAGCTGAGTACTTGGCAAAATTTCGGGAAGGTTTTCTGAATTCAAAATAGAATAATATGATTGTGAATGACTATGAGATTGAGTCCTAAGGTTGATCAAGTATGCCCCAAGGATATTTTCGACTGGGAAGGAAAAGTGTGATTGGTTCCTGAAAGGTCTTCGACCTTTGATTCAGTCGGGTGTGGTTTTGCACCATAATACAGTGTTCAGTAGTTTTACTGCTTGAGCTAGGACTGTTGAGTGGATGCCATTATCGTCGGATCTTAAATCCCAAACTTCTGATAGAGCCCAGAAGCAACCAAAACCAACTACTCATATTGGGTTTGTGAATCAGTTTGATAAAAGATTGAGGGACGATTCGGATTCTCAAGAATATACTAAAGTTAGATAAATGACTTCTGTTGCTCCAATTGTTAGTGCCAGAGGTTCAACTGATTTTCGTGGGGTACAATAATGTTCATATTGCTAGAAGAGACATGAAGGTAAGTGTTGTAGGAAGAATATAGACTGTTTCCGTTGTAGGTCATTGGAAAATCATTTCGTTGAATGTCTGTTTTCGTCTATTGCTCTTTACATTTCCAATCAGACTTAGGCATCGGTTTATACACAAATCGGAGGTAGAGAATAAAATAAATCAACTAGTGCTAGTTTAGTTAGTATGGTTAGATTGGTTCAAAGTAGAGGTTCAACTAGATCTGCAGTGAGTCCGTCTGAGTTGGTATATGTTACTCGGAGATACGAGGATCGAGATGAGTTTGATGAAATTATGGGTATCTTCTTTACTCATTATGTTTCCATTTCGATTAATTTCGAGGTCAAAATTTTCTTTAAGGAGGGGGAGACTTGTAACACCCTGATTTCCTCCCAAATTTGATATCCTAAAATTTAGGGAAATTATTTAAATCCCTAAATTGGACTTAGGGACTAAATTAATTTTTTAGGAATTTTGGTGACCTTTTTGAAAAATGAGAAAACTTTTGGTTCAAATAAAAACTATTAAATAATTTAAGGACCGATCATCTGATTAACCCTTTTCTTCTTATATTACAAACTTATCCCCTTCTATTTAACGCGATCGTTTTTCCATTTTCTATTTTTCCTTCTTTGTTTCACGAACATCGTTGATCCTCTTCCTTTGCACGTAGCCGTCGATCATTATTGCTAGCCGTTGGTGGGTACTGATCGTCGCCCATCGTCGTGTTTTTCCCTAGTGTGGTCTTTCAATCGTCGCTCCGTCCGTGTTTTAGTATGAATAACGGAGAAGCTCTTCATGTCGATATCGCTTGTGCCATCCTTGGCCATCTGTTTGGTCGGAGTTCACATGTTGGTGGTTGTAACGGCCAATTTAACTCAAACAACGCTGATGTTGGCTGGTTTCAGCCATTAAATATTGCTGCCGCCCATCTGCCATCTCTGTCGACCTTTTAAGCCACGGTTATGTCGGTTGTGCATTTCTACCGTCCTCGATTGTTGTCTCCACAGTTTGATTGTGTAGTCACCGTCGTCGACTATGGTTCCTTCCATTGGTCCCTTTGCCGCCCAATCAATGGGGTAGCTTTCCGACAGTCTCCATTCTTAACTTGGCAGCCTCCATTATTCGATCCAGTAGCCCCCTTATTCGAAATAAAAACCATGTTGACTTTTAATTCAAACTAAAAAAATTTACTAAATTTATTAATGCTGTTATATATTTTTTTGAACAATCTGAAAATTTAGTGTCATGGAAACTGAAATTGAGCATCGTTATTTTTGCAAGAAGCGCCAAACTGAGAATTGAGTTTCCGCCCCTCCGTCGTTACCAGCTCACTTTGAACCAAGTCAGGTTACGTGAACTGATTGTGAGTGTTAGCTAGTGAAAATTAGTTGTTCGATTTGATTTCATTACTTTCGATAGTATAATAAGTTATTATTAATTTTCCGTACGAATTCGGGTCAATCCACTATTTGAGATGATCGTGGTAAACATCATTATCGTCGTTAACTATTTATCGAGGTGTGTCTCTATTCGGTGCTACATTTACATTGATTGATTGCTTGCTTGCTTGGTTGTTTTGTGTGTCGGCTTTGCAAAGCTTGTTGTTAGGATTGGTTCACTCCTGTTTCACCCATCTCTGTGTCAATCCACCTTTACTACCAAGTTGTTCTAATACATGTTTTCGCTTTTAAATGATGGTTTATTGAATATATTTATATATATTTGAAAATTTTGGGGTAGTCTGATGATACATGATCGAACAGGGAGTGTCCAAACCAAATGAAAACTTAGTATCGTTAATCATGCTCATATTAAACTACTGTCTTCTTACTTGCCATGAATATGCCTTTTGTTTGTTCTTATAAAATTAGAGCCTGCATTATTTGCAGAGTATAGAGCATCGGCCAATCAATCAACATTCAGGTAGGGGGGAAATGGTTTTAATTCACTACATTATTTGTTAATAGAAAATATTTGATATATAAGTGATTTGATATTTTTTAAATTCCGTAGGTTGGGTTTAAAAAATAACAATATTCTAAATTATATTTTAAAAAATGGTTTAATAAGTAGAGGTACAGAACTCTACCACGAATGCATCAAATAACAGTAAATAAAGCATAGAATATGATCATATTTCCCCTATGAAAATGAAATTTAAATTCTTTAATATTAAAATCTCATTCGCCATCGCCAGCATCTGTGACTCGTTGTCTTAATATCACTCTCCTAAACCAGGGTCCAACAACCAGGCCCAAATGAAGAAAAATCCCTTAAGTCTATTTGTTTTGTTGCAGGGTTTGACAAATCACACAGATGATCAATCGTAAGCTATTTTACGTTTAACCATCTAAAACAGTAGGCATTCGGAGATAACACTATCGACTATTTAAAGACAAATTGGAGTCTAGCTTTACATGATTGAGATGCTGAAACATAAACGATAAAAAAAACATTACGTCTAAAACAGTAGATAAACTTTTTCCTTCTTTTTTTTTTGCCTTGTGATAATCATCTAAATAGAATTATTTTTTCCTTTTAAGTTATAGATCATTCACAATTAGCGTAATTCACAGGAAGTTGAGATCAAAGCAGCTATCATCATTTTTTACATACATAAAGTTCGATTACGTTTATTGATCATGGGCAACAGAACCATACAAGACCTCCAATGGCGGATCTAATACTCGTTACATTGTTGAGAGAGGTTACACAGTACAGTTCAGAGCACAAGATGAAACCAGCAAAACTAAGGCTTGGTAAAAATGTAAAAAACAGCTCCAAGAGCTGTCATGGCAGACCATATAAACCGGGTGCCATGGCCAAAGCCTATAAAAGCTAGACATCAAACTTACTTTGAACTGCCAAAAGCAAAACCACAACTACGATGACCCGAGATTTTCAATCCGCCATTGAAGTAAACAAAAAAGAGACCCAACCATCACGTGTAGAACATTAAGTTCAAAAACGTGAGACTCGGTAAAACCAATGGTGGACGATAATAGTACAACAAGCTTACCCCAAGTAAGAAGTGAACAAGGCTAAGCAAAAACACCATTCGCCAGAAACCCAGCAAACTGAAACCTTTTAACATGAAGAAAAAAAAAATACCCCTAAAATCCAGAACCCAGCAGCAATTATATTCTCAGGGACGTTAGGCCATGAAGCAACCAACACCCATTATTGGGATTCAAAAACCTGGTATAACAGATCTCTTATGAAAAGAAACCTGCAAAAAAAAATTACGGACACCTGGAAAAAGGGTCCGAGTTCCAGACTGTAGAAGACCCATAACTGATGGACCCAAAAACAAACTTCCGCTACTCACGAAGGCTATTATGAAATCTTCTTGGTGGGTCGAAACCCCAGTTATTGATAATCCCATACTGCAGTGTTGTTCAGAAAAGGATATCACACCTCCATAGCCGCTCCACAAGCAGGTCGACTACACCGCTGCTGATTGCCTTGCATTGCTTGAGGTTTAACCCCAGGAGGGTCAGACCCAATTTTCCAAGTGATGGCAGGCTCTTGTCTGAGACCATAGAGCAACCAGAGACAGATAAGATCTGAAGATTGATCAGATCAGAGCAGGCCAGAGCAGCAATTCCGGAGTCAGTGATAGCACACTTGGAGACATCTAGATCACTGAGCAACTGACAGTTCTCTGCAATTGCAACCAAACTGGCATCACTGATCTTGCAACCATCAAGATTCAACATCTCTAGAGTCCACCCATGTAAATCAGCCATCTTGCAAACAACTTTGTCACTCAAATTGGCACAACTGCTGAGATTAACCTTCACCAAACCAGCCTCACAGCTCTCGAGCAATGGGAGAAACCCAGCATCTGTTATTCCATGAAGCCCACTCAACTCCACGTTCTGCAGATGAGGGCACAACTTTCCCACAGCAGCCAAGCTAGCATTGCCAAAGCCAGGGCAGTTATGGATGGACAGTGATTGAAGGTTTCCACAACGGGATAGAGGAGGCAATCCCAAGCTTAGGTCCTTGATACCCAAGCAATTAACAAGAGAAATAGCCTTGAACTTTGGACCACAGTTAAGAAGGGAACCAAAAAACCCAAGTTGGGTAACCCTGTGGCACTCCTCCAGTTCCAAGCTCTCTAGTGAAACCGCTGCTTTGGCAAAAGACACCAACCCATTATCAGATAAGAAAGCACATTTGCCGAGGCAGAACTGCTTCAAATTTGGGCAACCCTTACCAACAGCTTCCAGTCCCAAATCCGTCAATCCAAGGCAGGCTTTAATTGTGAAAGACTTCAATTTCTGTAGCCCATGACCGTTACCCATTACCCAGAAGCCCTTCTCGGTAACATTTGGAAGGCTAGTGAGATAAAGGTCGGTCACTGCCTTGCCATAGTGTCCAATTACGGCAAGAGAGACATCGGTAATGTTCAATGCCTGAAGTTTTACTTTTGTGAGGGAATATGAGGCCGATGTCAGCAGGCTTGCAATTCCTTGATCTCCAACAAGGGGACAACCTTCAATTGAAAGAGACTTTAGATTGGGACAGCTGCGTGCTACAGCCTGGATACCTTCATTTCCAATGTTTGCACATCCTTCAATGGTCAGATCAGTCAAATCAGGACAGCCCTTTGCAATGGCGAGCAAACACTCATTAGTAATAGCAGGACAGCGGCAAAGGTCAAGCTTCTGTAGCTGGTGACACCCATCGGCAATCTCACATAGCCCTTCGTCTCCAACAGAAGACAAATTCCACAAAGAAAGAACCCTCAGAGAAGGGCATCCACGGGAAATGGCCCTTAGGCCCACGGTAGTCACTCCACGGCTGGAATTGCTTCCTCGAATGAAAAGCTTGCCCAATCCACCACGACTAGCAGTTCCGACAGCAATAGCAGCAAGTCTAACATCTGTTGCTTTCTTCCCTTCCAAACTCCTAGAGAGGTATCCATCTCCCTGGAGATTCTGATCTCCAACCTCAGAATCAACATCCTTGAGATTCAAAGCATCTGTGGTATTGTCACTGATTTCACCTCTGCGGATGTTGCTTACAAGTGTAAGCCAGCGCTTGGAAACACAAGCGCAGGCACTCCTCTCTTGGCCTCCAGGCAACCGTCTGAAGATTTCGAATAAGCATTCATCAGGGAGAACCTCGATCGATGGCTTCTGCTCAAACCTCTCACCGGAGAAAACAAAAGGCGCACTGATGCGGGACCTCTTACAAGGGGTAAAATAAACATCCACATGACTTCCAAGGGACAAAAGGAGATTTGATTCCTTGGGGTTTGGGTAGATCGACCCCTCAGGGAAAAAATCATCAGATCCTGAAAACCAAGGGAAAAAAATTGATGAGGAAGGAGAAGTCTACCAGAGTAATCTAAGAAAATAAAGTTAAAAGTTTTTTGACCACACAAATAAGATGAAAAGGAACTAGATGGGGCTTTGAATCTAATAACTCATCTCAGATACAGTCCCAGTAGAACCAAATATTTCAGAAAAACAACCTACATCTGAAAAGGAAACCATCTGAACCAAAAATCCCAGTCGATCCATTCAGAATAGACCGGATCTACCGACCAAAACACCTCTATGGTTCTCAACTTGAAATAAGCATAAAACAACAAACAGATCAGCTAAGAAACACCCAAAACTCTTCCAAACAATCAATATCTCCAATAAATTAAACAGCAAGGGCAATTTATGAGAGAGAAAATGAAGGGATTAGCTATATGGGTGCCTGATCTACAACTATAATTACTTCACAGCCTCGGTTTTCAAAGAAACAAAACCAACAAATTGAAAAGAACCAAAAGTCAACGATATCTTCCCCTAGATCAACCTGAATTAACTATTTCACAATCAAGACTCAACATTCAACCTCTACCAAATCAACCAGATACCCAAAAAACCGTTGAGTAAAAAAATTTGGAAATACATCAAAATTATAAAAATCATCAACGATATAGATAATAAAAATTTCAATTCCCCTAAGCTACCATAGAAATTCTCAAAAGTCTAAAATTTGTTCATCTACAAACCAAAGATTAAGAATTTACCACTAAAAGAAAAGAGCTTTGACATGAGTACAGCTCAAAAAAAACCCCGGTAGGTAAAATTCGCAAAGTTCGCCGCCCAAAATCCCTCCTAAGAGAGGGAAAAAAAAAAGAGAGAGACCCAACAAGAAAGAAAGCTAAAACTTCAATGTATGTAAATTGAAGACACGGATGCATGAGATAGATTGGAGATAGGACATGGAACCCCTATCAAATAGGGTAAAAAAAGAGAGAAGAAGAAAAATGGAAAATGTGGAGGAAGAACAATGACAGATGGGAGGGGAAAAGGAAAAGCGATTGGTTTTTATGATGAGAGGATGGAGAGGCTTGGGTATGCGACAATACACAATAAAATAATCCACATGCAATGTATTTGAGCTACGAAAGAGGCAAAGCTCTCTCTCTCTTCTCTCTATCGGATTCAACCTAAAATGTTTTCTATTAAAATTATTAATATCGGAAATATTTATTTCAAGGGAATGGATGAATTTAAAAGAAAGTGCTTATAGTAAATTTAAAACTTATAATCTAAGGAAATATAAAATAATAAAGATGAATAGTTTGACTTTCTTTTAAAGTCATTCATTCCCCTCTTATCCCGATAAAATTAGGATTATATTTAAAATTTATCTCAAAAAAATATAAATCTAATTGAAATTAATTCTAATTTAATACAATGTTAATAATGAGACAAAATATTAATAAGTCAATCTCAGATCCACTTATTTTTATTGTTATATACTTCATTTTACATCACCTAATTCCTAAAAACCATACTTTAAAATAATATCGAACGCTTAAACTCGATGAATCGACTCCGTTATATATTTATTCCTATATCTATTCCTTAATCATATTAGGTTTGGTTGTTCCTCTAGACCAACATGATATCTATTCCTATATCGCTGTCCATTTTCAATGCTGTTTTCTTGCCTCAATAGTTTTTACTAGGTCTCATGATAGACGTGTCTTTTATTTATATCTCCTTTTTTTGTCATGTTTATGCGTGGTTTATCTAATGGGAAGAAGAGACTGTGAACTGCAAATGGTGAACCTTAAGTATAATATGGATAGCATTTTCCCCCTAGTTTTGATGAATAATTTTTTTCTAGATATTCTTAATACTGGTATTGCTAGGATTATATCCTTTGTTTTGTTGCTAGGCTGTTATCCCTACGTTCCACGAATGGATGAGCAACTCTATAGTCATCGATGTCATCTTTTTGATGACTCGATGCAAGATGTTGGTTTTTGGTTATGGATTATGATGTTTGGATTATATGTGATGGGTGGTGTACTGAAAGTTATTGGTGTGTATACATCGTTAATTATGGACACTGTTATTCTTTTTTCCTTCCAATGTTATAATGGTATTGCTAAGGAATTTCTTAGTCGTCGGTAACAGCCTTATGGTGTTATGATGCGAGGTTTTACGGAACGGCAAAGGTGGTGGTATGTTTATGTTTACATATTGGTATTTATGCACTGTTTGATTAGCAAAACAATAAAATGCTATGCACATTTATGGAATCATGTTGTTGGTTCACGGCTTTGTCTTATATTAGTTTGCTTACCTGATTTCAATAGGCATGTTAAGTGGAAAATTTTCCAGAGCTTAAATAATATATATATGGTGTCTATATGTAAAGGTAGAACGACAGTGCCTGCTGACGGCTGTGTAGGAATACCAAGGTTAAATACTACAACATGATTCCTATTCACATATCTTATGCTGATGCATGGATTTACGATTATGACTTTCTTTTCAAACATGGAACGTAAATGTTTATTATTTTAATACTGGGTTATTTGGAATTGACAAAGGATCCTTTGTTTCAAATACCTGTTTGTTTCAAATACCACGAAACGAGATTATCACCAAGATAAACACAATAACCTAAAATTGACTGTCTATCATCAGTGTTGCTACCCCAATCCGCATCAGAGAAATCACGTAGCATAAAAGTACTTGAAGATGCTCGAAACACTAGACCATAATCTAAAGTACCAGATATATATCGCAAAATAAGCTTTACCGCCAACCAATGCAACTCACAAGGGTGGTGCATATACTGAGCCACACAACCAACACTAAATAAAATGTCAGGTCTAGTATAACTGAGATAAAGTAAACCACCCACCATACTCCAATAAACTTGAGGATCTTCAAGCGGACGACCATCATCATGAGTGAGTTTATGCGTAGAGAGCGTCAGAGTAGGAACCGATCAAGCATCAACCATCTGAGCACGTTCCAACATTTCTCTAATATATTTTTTTTGGCTTAACACAAGTGTACCATCAGACCATTCAACCTCAAGTCCAAGAAAGAAATTCAACTCACCAAGATTCTTTAGCGAATTGAGACCCCAACATACGCACAACATGATCAACCAACACATCATCACTCTCGATGATAACAATATCATCAACATAAACAAGAATAAACACACAACGATCACCATCCTACCGAAAAAACAAAGAAGAATCAACTTGTGTTCCAATAAAATCAATGCTAAGTAAAAAAAGTACAAAGTTTAGAATACCAATTTTGAGGCACTTGTTTCAACCTATAAAGCGATTTTTCCAACTTACACACTAACCACTCACCATCAGTAAACACTCGCTCAAAGTTGGGTGGTTGCACCATAAAAACATCCTTGATCAACTCATCATTAAGAAATGCATTTTTCACATCGATATGTCGAAGTTTCCAATTATTTTGAACCGTCAAAGACAACAATATTTACCATCGATGATTTCACCACAAAACTAAACGTATCATGAAAATCATGGCCCGATACCTGATAAAATCACCTAGCAATAAGTCTTGCCTTGTAACGAGCAACTAAATCGTCAGGAATTTTATAATCTTATCTTTAGGTAACGTAACCAACTTTCACGTGCCATTGTTGATCAATGTCTCATACTCAATAAGAACCACTTGTTTCCAATGAGGTGACATAAGAGCTTGACGAACAATTATAGGTTCACCATCACCGTGACCCATTTCAATTGCATGAAATAACTTAGGTTTGAAAACCCCCTGTTTTCTCCTAGTAATCATACTATGAGTATTTCCAGACGAGCAACCCATAACATTACTCACATCACAAGAACAAGGATCCAAATTATCTAGATCAGACATAGGAACAACACTTTTAAAGCAGATTCTTTAAACCCTTTTACATTAAAATTACACTTGATTATGCCGAGAATCAGCTAAATATGTAGCTCTGATATCAATAAATATAACATTCATCTCCCGTATATCTTTTCGTACACGAGATACCTATGTCACATCACTTTTAAAGCATTTTCTCTTTTGAAAACCCGAAAATTTTTTGTTTCTTTTATAAAACATTTTTAATTTAATAATAATAAATCATGCATTAAACTTACGTAGATAACAAAAAGTAATGTTCAAACATTTCCTCATTTTACATCATGTTAAATCAAATACTTTTCAGAGCGTTTTTACTAAGTCTATTACATGCCAACTAAATACATCAAAAGTGGACATGGATGTCGTACTGTTACTGACGAGGTGACACTTGCTTTGATGTCTAATAATCTCCTTACTCCGCTTGTACTAAAACCTACACGTGAAATTAACAAACGCTAAGAAATTTCTTAATGAGACATAAATAATCATAAGCAAAATTATAAACATAAGTATATCATGACAATACTAATATCCATTAATTCTTTTCAATTCATTATACACACTATAGTACCAATACAATCATTTCCCAAACATTACTATAATTTACATGGGTTGCACAACACCCACTACCAATACGGAAATTTATAAAATTATTATGAATTTCTTAGTTTTTGCACACAAAGTGCCCATACGTAAATTCATAAATTTATTTTGAATTTCTTAGTTTTTTCACACAAAATACCCATATGGAAATTCATAAACTTATTATGAATTTCTTAGTTTTTGCACACAAAGTGCTCATACGGAAATTCATAAACTTATTATGAATTTCTTAGTTTTTGTACACAAAGTGCTCATACGGAAATTCATAAACTTATTATGAATTTATTAGTTTTTGCACACACAGTGCACATACGAAAATTCATAAACTTATTATGAATTTCTTACTTTTTTGCACACAAAGTGTCCATAAAATTCATAAACTTATTATGAATTTCTTAGTTTTTGCACACAAAGTGCCCATACGGAAATTTATAAAATTATTATGAATTTCTTAGTTTTTGCACACACAATACCCATTTGGTAATTACCATACATATATTAAGCAACATACATTAATGACTACCATAACATATAAGTACATAATAAATGCACTCACCTGGCTTGCTTCGTTATTATATCCAAAACGTACTTTTGATTACTCTGCTACTTTGCCTTTGTCTTTCGTTTTGCTTGACTCGGGAGCTTGATTTCGATCTACTCAAGCATCCATTAAAGACATGTACAATATCAATTATTAGTATACTCCTTAACATTTATACTTAAACTATACTCATAAGTACTATTATTAAATTTTCCATAACAATCTCAACCTATCTTAAAATTTTTGGCTCAATAGTATCGATACCCCTACCATGGTATCGATGCTTCTATACTATGGTATCGATACCTTTACCATGGTATTGATACTACTATACTATGGTTTCGATACTCTATTACGGTACTGATACCATTTCTGTATTCTGTTATCAATGGTATTGATACCTTCTTTATAGTATCAATACCCCTCTTGGTATCGATACTACTTGCATCAGTATTGATACTACTCAGCTGATTCTTCTAATTTTAAGCCTATAATACCGTTATTGTTCTATCAGTATCGATACCCTTACCCATATTTTCCATTTTCAGCCCGAATCTTACCCAAATTTGGTCAAATTACCTTATGTTTACCCCTAACAATACTATTAAACTCTTCTCTACTTATCCCTATTAACCTTCCTTCATTTAACTACTTTAAACATCTAAAATCTCTCAAGATCATTTGAATCTAAAAATCACACCACATTTTCTAACTTGTTTTTAAATTCATCCAATGCTTCTTATCTCTCATTTACTTCTTTAACAAGTCAAATCTACTAGTAAACATCAATAAACATTCATATCATAACATATCATTACAAAACCCAATTTTTTAAATCTCAAATATTTCATCCATCTCTTAGGTTTAATCCTATCTAATCCTTCCTTAAGCCTCTATAATATTCAATGCTTCAAAAACCATAAAAAAACGAAAGAAGAAATTAGCCAAATGAAATCTTACCTTTGGCTGTGGAGGAGAGTTTTTCCACAGGAAAGAAGAAGA